CCATGTCCCAAAATTTGCTTCTAACCCTAAGCCACAAAATCCCCTTCTTGTTCATAAATCTCCAAATCCATTTACCCTGGAATGCCTAATTCATTTCAACTATAGATCTCAGCCCCCAGACCTCTTTGATGCAAAGGTCTTTTTAGAACATCCCATGCTACCAAGTGAATATCTCCTTTTCTTTCCTAAGTCACCTCATAAAAATCTACTTTGAATTGTTTTTAATTTCTTTGCAACACTTGACGAAAGTGTTATAAGAGACGTATAATACACTGGTAAGTTTGACAACATATTTTTAATGGGCGAGGCACCCATCTTTGGATAACAAATTTCTCTTCCATTCTACCAAACTCCTCTCAAACCAGGCCACAATAGAGTCCTACGTCCTCACATCCTTGTACTTCACTCCAAGGTATGCCCAGCTACTTGATCATAAGCTTCTCCACCTTGCAATCCGAAACTTTAGCCAATCTCCTTGTTGTTTCCCCGTAACCCAATCTCACCAACTCGAATTTGGCAAGATTAATCTTAAGGCCCGCTTGAAAACACGATAAACACATCTTAAATTAAGCAAAATGTTCTCATCCAACTCATAGAAAACTTAAGTTTTTGAAAAAAATAAATTTCTAATTTTATTTCTTATTTCTTGTGTTTACATTTAGAAGACATACATAAAGTGGTTATCCTTATTTTAGTTAAACTCTAATTATAAGATATAATTATACTATTAGAACTCTAACTAATATAGTATTCTACTTAGTATGAAATTCTTATTAACACTCTCCCTCAAGTTGGCGCAAAGATATCATACATGCCCAACTTGCAAATCAGGTTCTAAAAAGATTTGTTGCATAATCCTTCAGTAAAAATGTCAGCAACCTGGTCGTTAGAAGATACATGATATAAACATAGCGAGCCACCAACCACCTTCTCTTTTATGAGGTGTCGATTAATGTCAACGTGTTTTATTCTGCCATATTGAACTGGATTATGAGTAATGTTAATTGTTACTTTATTGTCACAAAACAAGGATAGTTTCTCGTGTTTAAATAGTTTTAACTCTCTCATTAGCTTTTGCAACCATAGTAATTCACATATTCCTTGGGCCATTGCTCTATATTCTGCCTCAGCACTGGAGCGGGCAATTACACTTTGTTTCTTACTTTTCAATGTAAGTTGCCTCCTACAAGTATGTAGTAACCTGTAGTTGATCTTCTATCATGTGGATACCTAACCCAATCGGCACTTGTAAATACTTATATTTTAAGGTAACCATTCTTAAAAAAAAAAAAGCAGACATTTTCCTTGTGCAGACTTCAAATATCGTAATATGCGGAAGATAGCATGTAAATGAGTTTCACGATAATCATGCATGTACTGTCTCACAAGACTAACTGCATATGTTATATCAGATCTGGTATGTGAGAGATAAATGAGTCTTTCAACTAGTTTCTAGTATCTCTCCAAATTAACTGATGTACCACTACCTATTTGCAATTTGTGGTTGCTCTCAATAGGCGATTCTACTGGCTTGCAACCCATCACACTACTCTCTTCTAGTAAGTGTAGGATATACTTCATTTGAAAAATGAATATCCCTTTATTGGATCTGTCAAGTTCAATTCCCAAGAAATATTACAATTTTCCTAAATTTTTTATTTCAAACACTTGAGTCAGAAGTTCTTTCAACCGAGCCATCTCTTTTGTGTCATCTCCAGTCACAACAATATCATCTACATAAACAATGAGAAGAATGACCTTACCCTCATGATGTTTGCTAAATAAGGTACGATCCGCATCTTTTGTTGATATTCAAAAGAGATCATAACTCTTCTAAACTGTTCAAATCATGCTTTTGGAGACTAATTTAATTCGTATAAAATATTTTTTAATTGACAAACTTTTTCTTGCTTCATCTCATCTTCAAATCTAGGTTAAATTTTTATGTACACCTCTTCCTCTAAATGTCCATGAAAGAATGCATTTTTTACATCAAACTGCTGTAGATCCCAATCAAGGTTAGCTGTGTTGGAGAAAAGTATTCTGATTGTATTCATCTTTGCAATATGTGCAAATGTTTCCTGATAGTCAATCTCATAGATCTGAGTAAATCCTTTAGCCACCAATCTAACTTTGTACCTTTCGATCGATCCGTCTGCTTTGTATTTTACAGTGAATATCCATTTGCAACCAACTATCTTCTTTCCCTGTGGAAGTGAAACAAGTTCTCATGTTTGTCAATACTCTCATTTCTTCAATCATATCTTTCTTCCACTTGGGATCTCCTAGAACTTCTCTCAAATCCTGTGGAATAGACACAGAGGAAACAGATAAAACAAAATCTCTATAGGAGGGAGATAGAGAGTCATAGAAACAAACTTAGATATAGGGTGCTTAGTGTAAGTTCTCGTTCCCTTACTAACAGTAATAGTTTTGTCTGATAAATCACAAAAGAAAATAACTCACCAGTATCTTCTGAACCAAAGAAGATTCTTGACCCGCGACAGACTGCACGATGGCTTTTCAGATTTCTCTCTCATTGATATATTTTCAAGTCTGG